TCGGCTAGCGCTGTCTAGCTTTTGTGTATTGCAGTAGAAAGGTTTTGCCCTAATCAAAGACTGCTTCCCTCTCTTTTCGGATTTCATCCTTCCCAAATGCTGCGTTTCAGTTCGGAAAGATCAGTTAGGGCTTCATCAACCGCTACATCCTCATTTTTCTCGAGGCTGTCTTCCTCGAAAATTCCTCCCAGTTTTTACGCCTCCGAAGCAGTTGCGTAGCTTGCAAAATAACAAGCAATGCATAACACAAACGTGCACACACATATTTTGCATTATATCGTAAAAAGTGTGTAATAATTATTCACACAGACAAACATATACACACACATGCAGAAATACATAGACAGACAGACACGCACACAAATATCCTGAAAATATGTCGACAGTTGAACTCGTTGAATTTTGTAAATCGATACATTTTCGGATTTACGCATATGTGAGCTCATTAACGATTGGACGTTTTGTCGGAAATTTCTTCCCCAAAGTATAAATTTCAGGATCGTTGAATTTCATCATAGCTGATTAAACGACGGACCGCCTGCTCCATTAGTTGAGCCAATGATGAACAGCTATCTGAGGGACAGCTACGGATCTACACCCTCTTTTTATTTTCGTTCATCCGTCTGCTAATTTAATACTCACTGGCAAAATTGAATTAAGATTTGAAGATCTGAAGCTAGAAGTAGCCTTATTAGAAGAGACTGTCAAATTTCAGCGCATGGTCTAGAATGAGAGAGACAAATTTTCAATGTAAATTTGCATCAAAGGCCTCATTGGATAACGGTGGGAAATGGCAAGCATAGTGCTATTCAATATGCTAATGAGATGCAGACTGTTTTTGCCGAGAGGGAAAGATCGAGGAAAAGTAGAGCGCATCGCTAAAAAATGCACTGAATTCAGCTTCCACCTTGTTGTTTGTTTCGGAATGTGCTAGCGGTACACGTGTGCGTCATTGGCGTATTCACGTGTGGAGAGGAGGAGAGTAAAGAGGGAGGAGAAAGAACAGCAAAGGATGACGGAAAAGAGGGGGTTCACAAACGACACCGAAATCGCTCACATGGAGGGTGCCAAATTTTCTCGTAAATACAGCGAAGGGGGTTCAGGAGTGTTGCAGTACAATTAAGCTCACAAATGCTAAAATTAACCCAAAATACCAAAAATGTGGCAAAAATGAAGGGACGACATTTGGGACAAGAAGGTAGAAGACGCTTAATTGAGATGTGCTGTTTTTAGCTATAAAAGCTGGATAATCGACCGATAAAATCACTTATTTTCGTCGTTCCTTGATCAACTGTGCTTCAAATTTAT